AGGCTGAGGTGAGTGGATTGCCTGAGCCCGTGGGTTCGAGACCCACCTGGGCAGGTGAGACCTCATCTCTACAATAAATCAAAAAATTAGCCGGGTGTAGTAGCGCGCGCCTGTAATTCCGGCTACTCGGAAGGCTGAGGCTGAAGGATTGCCAGAGCCCAGCAGGTCGAGGCTGTGGTGGCCAGGAGTGGCCACTGCACTCCAGTCTGGGCGACAGAGTGAGACTTCAACTCAAAAAAAAAAAGAAAAGTATACTCCTAGTTTTCTTGCTGGAATTTTAGGATATTAAGTCCAAAGATAGAGAGAGAGAGAGAGAGAGAGAGAGAGAGAGAGAAAAGCAAGGAAGGGAAGGAGGGAAGGAGGGAAACAATATTGAAGTCTTTAAAATCACTCTGTATAAACTTTATACCTGAGTGTCATTCAGTCATCCACAATTCCTAGAGAAATATTTTCACTATTATCCACATGCCTCCAAATGCTAAATTTCCCCTATAGCCAGATGAACTTTCTGCATAAACTGGTGGTGCCAAGGGCCTCCTCTCTGCTCTCTGGGCCTACAGCTGTCACTGGGCCTGGCTGCCTTCCCTGGCATCAGATCACCATGGCACATGCTCTGGACGGGGAGCCTGCTGACAGACATGGAGGAGCACTTTGATATGATTTTACCAAAGCAGACGTTAAAACTGGAAGAAATACTTGTATTTGTTATAAGGTCCCATCTCATGCAGAGAGACCTTGGCAGAGAAAGACAGATGTTACCTTTAGAGCTAATCCTCTTGGTGAGAGAGAACGCAAGCTCCAGGCATGCTATATTTACACATCTAACTCAACTAGTCCCTAGAGGATAGGCCATTTCAAATAGCCCAGTAAATGAAATGCATCTCTACTTGCTATTTAGACACAATACACGTTTGTTGTAGCAAATTTCATATGCAGTGGTATACACAGAAAAAATTAATTTTCCGCTCTTTTTCTTTAATAACACACAGTCCCCCAAGAAATCAGTATAAGAAGTTTGTTGACTGCCACTTCCCCCTTATTCCATTTTCAGTCAAACCAATGCATATTTGTAGGGTTATTTCCTCCACCTGTAATTTTTGTTGTTGTTTTCAATATAAATGGGGTTATACAATATGCTTGTTATTCAGACTGTTTCATTTCATCTAACAATTTATTATGAGTATCCTCCCAGATGGTATACTTAGTTCTAACTTTTTTTTTTAAGTAGTTGTCTAATAATGCCTTGGAGAAAGAGTTATTGCAGGTTGGATTTCAAGACTGTCAATTTTAAGGGTTAGTCACTGTTGTTGATATTTTTATTCTAGGGAAGTGAAATGGTAAATAGCCCAACTTATATTAGAAAACATTCTGTCTTAAAATGAGTAGAAGAGTATGTTTCAGAAGCCAGGATGTTCTTGAAATCTCAGTGTTATGATAAGCACAGTAGTACTCCGAGTATGTAACCAAAGCTAAAGCTAGTGCTCATGTGGAAACTGGGGGCCTAGAGTATTGGTTCCAGGAGCCCCTTACAGTGAATCCACCCCTGTAGGGAGCGACTTTGGTCTGCCTGAGCTGGCATTCAGCATCTCTCCTTGGTTATTCTTTAGAGTTTTCTTGCTGCCCCTTGGATTTGGTTCCCCAAGGACGGAAGAGGGAGAGAGAAAAGGCACTGCAGGCATTAGCATGCACATCACATATGCTCCCTTTGTTCTCTTGGCTGAGGTCAGATGGAATAGATCAATCAGCCTCCACATTCAAGTGTCCAGGAACCATCCAATCCACGTGTGCATGTGCACTGCCCATCTTTTAACCCTCAGTTAGGGTCAGCAGGAGTAAAACAGAACCAAAGAACCCCTTGGGAAGTAAGCAGCTGCTCCCAGGAGCCCATCAGCTGTGGGGGTTCTCTGTGTGTTTCCTGGGGATTCACATTTTAGGTAGAAGCAACTGGCTCAGGCTCTTGGAAGTCTAGGAATACATGCTGCTGGCAGGAGATGTCACTTTTGACCATTTGCTCTGCCAGACCTGTGCTACGCACTTAACAAATATTACTTGAACCTTCCTGCCTCTTGTGAGGTAGGTATTATCTGCCTTTACAGACAGGAAGCTGAGGTTCAGAAAGCCTAGGATTTGCCCAAGACCACACAGCTTTAGGGAAGAAGCAGCATGAAAGTGTGCCTCTTCACTTAGTCCCACGGCCTAGCTTAAAGCAGAGGTACCCCAGATGGCCTTCAGTTCCCCGCAGTTATCCTGGCCTTCCCTGCCCAATTGTGCTGTCAATGGATTCACCTGTCTCAGGCCTCTGAATTCAAGGACCTGGACCACAGGTGGATCTTCAGGACACAGCTAAATAGCTCTACTGTAACCTATAGACATATTCAAATTCTCTGTCCAAGTCCCCCTAAAGTTGGTGAGTACAGAGCCTTTCAAGTCCATTTATGCTTTCTGACTAGGATAACAAGGTTTTAGACATAAGAGAGCCCTAAAAATTATCCTGCCAAACCCCCTCATTTGATAGATTAAGAAACAGGAGACTGGATAGTCTGGCTGGTGGTGGGAGTTGGAGGTGGGTGACAGGTGCTGTGGTGGATTACTAACAGCAGTGCCCAAAAGCAGGCTAGAGCAGGGTTTATTACAGCCCACAGGTCAATTCAGTCCTCAACCAGTTTTTGAAAATAAAGTTTTAGCCGGGCATGGTGGTTCAAGCCTGGAATTCCAGCATTTTGGGAGGCTGAGGCGAGAGGATTGTGTGAGCTCAGGGGTTCGAGACCAGCCTGAACTACATGGTGAGACTTTGTCTCAAAACAAAACAAAACAAAACAAAACAAAACAAAACAAAACAAAATAAAAATTAGCCGGGTGTGGTGGCACATTCCTGTGTTTCTAGCTTGGAAGGCTGAGGCAGAATGATCACCTGAGCCCAGCAGGTTGAGGCTGCGGTGACCATAAGCGTGCCAGTGCACTCCAGCCTGGGTGACAGAGTGAGACTCTGACTCATAAAAAAGAAAAGAAAAGAAAGTTTTATTGGAGCATAGGCACATCCACTGATATATGTATTATCTTTGGCTATGTTCAAACTACAATAGCAAAGGTAAGTAGCTACAATCGAGACTGATGACCCTGGACATCTAGAATATTTTCTATCAGAAATAAGAAATGTTTTCTGAACCCTGTGACAGAGTGGGGCACACAGGTAGATATGTATTATTGGTGACTTCCTAGTTCATAGAGGGAGGTTAGGTACACAGGTATTTGCCATATCATAGGATGAGTTAAGGACAATGCTACACGAGGGCCACTGATGGTTATCATCAAAAACAATTATTAAATTCTGTGCACCTGAAAACAGATAGCTGGGAAGGAGAGAAGAAAACATTTACCTCTTCAGGTTTCAACGGCTCTTTGTCACCTGTCCTACTTCATCACCTACACCCGGTTTTTGCCCACGTGTCTGTGATGCTCAAAAGACGGTGGAAAGAAGGACAAAGGATGGCAGGGTGGGTAAAGCAGGCTTTCAGGTAGGGGCAGGATGAATATACTGAGTACTGTAGGGTAAGAAGGGGCTTGGATAGAGACCTCCAAGCACAGGCTATTGAAGATAGTTCAACTCTAATTTTTCAACTTCCATTCACAAGGGGCATCTTCCCATTGCACCAGCAAAGGGGCATGAGGGGCCATTCTCTGCAGCCCTCCCTCCAGAGTCCCTCCTCCTTTTGGGTCAAGGTTGCCCTCAAATGCTGGTAGCTCACAAGTTCTGAAAGCATTCTCATGGGTGACTGTGCACACTTATGAAGGCACTTGGGGGCAGAGCATATATTGTCATATTTAATCCTAAGCATGATCTGGTGAAGTAAGAGCTACCATAATCCTCATGCCAGAGAGCAGACTCCAAGTGGGCAAGTCATGTGCTTAGAGACAGAGGGCTGGTGATGGCAGAGCTGAAATTTAGATCCAGACCCATCTGATTCCAGAGCTCACAATCAACTGTTCTATTGCACTGGCTGTGGCCTGGGACTGCACGTCATGCTGCCCCCATGAATGCAAGGCTTTTACCCACGGTGGCAGTCACTGTGGGTATGCAGAACATCTTGGCCTGTCTTAGAAGGGCAGCTTCAGGCATTGAAACCCCACCTCAGCAATTGGCAGGGGATTTGCAAATTCAAAGAAACGGTTTCAGTCCCTGGTGGGAAAGTTCCCAACAGCTTCAATTAGAGAACAGTCACAGTTCACTGATGCCTGATGCTCACAGGAGGCGGCTTTATTGTTTTATATGTGAAAAATGAGGAAAGGGCCAGGACCCCAGCATCGGGGAAACGACGAAAGATTGAGAAGTATTTCCAAAGTCACGCTCACCAAAAGGTCAATTCAACTGGGGGTGGGGTGGGGAGCGAACAAGCAAGCGAGCAGCTGAGAAGTATTTGTGGCACCAGAAAGAAGGTTATGATGTCCACTAAAGGAAACCGTGGCTATGAATTTCAGGGCATCAAGACCCTGTCAACAAAGCTAATCCCCACGGATGTTGGCTGAATAAGCCTTTGGTGACCAAAGAAGTGTACGGTGCAAACCGTGTCAGCCTCCAGCAGGCCAATTTGTCCTCATGTTACACACTCTGCAGGCTCTGCTGCGAGACCCCTAGGTCAAGAATCCCCCTCCAGTGCCCCCCAACCTGATGAGGGTTGACACAGCATGGTTAATAAGTCAACAGAATTCAGAAGCCACGACCGGATTAAGAAGGCAGTTTTATTTTGGTGCCCTGGACTTCAAGCAGATTAAATAATCAAAAAGGCCGAGCCATCGGGGTCATGTTTGAATGCTACAGCTGTTCACCGAGGTTTGACAAACATTCTTTCTGTGGTGAGCTGTCTGAATGGGAGCGGCAGGGATGATCTTGGGAAGGGTGACATTATAAGAAAGAATAGGGAACACAATTCAAAGATCCTCTTATGGAAATGGATCCCAGCCAGATGGAGATAAGGAGAAGGACTGCTTAAATAAGTGGACTTTTGAAAACAACAACAGTTTTCTGCATTGAAGAAAAGCACAAACAGGATTCAGAAAAAGTGACTGAAAAGCTGGGATCAGAGTTTGCCATGCCCTCGGTGTGTTGACCCACACATTAAAGAAGGTGGGCTACGCAGTCAGCAAGGTCACCTGTGGAGATTCAGTCATGAAAGGTGAGCCGTGATTAAATCCCCTTGGAAAAGTTATCGTCTTAGATGGAGATGAGATCCCCTCAGAAAGGTGTCTGTGGGAAATGTATTTCCAAGTCATTTTTCTGAAAAAAACTGGACAGACGAAAAATATCTCTATATGGGAAGATTTATGTTTGTGTCATGTTGGGTGCAGAAGAAGAGAGTGGAGACAAATGTATGCAGCCATGATGTGAATATGCAGTTGGCATGTCATGGGTCATTTCACAGAAAACATGGGGTTTAAAGTTGGAGTTCATATATTATTCCTATGGGAGGGGGGAGTGGAACCAAAGAAGCAATGAGCAAATTGGCGACAATCTCAAAAAGACAAGCCTTTCATTAATAGATTAGTGGAATCTGTGGAAAATATGTTCTCTGGTTGAATAATTGATTTCCTGCAACTAATTAACGATTGAGCCCCAGAGCTAAAAGTGGGGGGTGCTGGTTCATTTTTGAGGGGAAGATGTTTTGGCTTTGAAAGGAGTCATTTAAATTATTTGCAAAATTATAGAAAGGAAAACAAGGGTTTTTGCTCTTTTATATTTTGGAAAGAGGAAGAGGACTGTGATGTTCTGCATCCCTTGAACTAAATTAAACTGAGTTGAATCTCCTTCAGAAGCCTTTCCAAACATCTTCCTTATTGCCCTAAAGCACTCTTCTCCTCAGTGGAGAATTCAAGCAACAAAGGGGAATAGGCTCAAGTGCATTTGACAGCCACACTGTATATGTTCCTAGCTAAGGCCAAAACAAACAAGCTAGCAAGCAAACAAACAAACACAAAAGCTTCTTTCAGGAGTTTTCTTTGTAAGTAGATAACTATTTTGAGTTTTGAAATTATTGGTGACCTTGTGAATTCCTCTATCAATTACAAAATGTCCTTGACAGAGATTTGCCATATTTTGAAATTCAAGACTCAGGAAAAAAGAAAGGAGTATTACAGCTACTTTGGAGGATGATCTAGCAGCATCTAACAACATATAAATGCAACATCTCTGAGCCCCATGAGGATATTCCTTTTGATTCCAGAGACCTTTTCTCTCATTCTCTCACAGCCAAGGAGGTCTTTCCAAGGATGGTCTTTGCATCAACATTTGTAATGAAGAAAAAAACTGTCATACCTCAACTGCCCCCCAGTAAGGGTGGGGGGAATAAATATTAAATTTGGCATGGTCTCACCATGGAATACTCTATAGAAGTTAGGAGGAATGAATTAACTTTCTATGTGGATAGATCAGTTTTGAGTGAATAGAGCAAACTGCAGAATGAGACATGTCCGTATTTACATTTATGCAGATTTAAAAACGAAACTGCTATGCCACACAGTGTGTGTATCTGTGTGTGTGTGTGTGTGTGTGTGTGTGTGTGTGAAAGCATTTGACAGGCAGTGAAGCACAGCTGATAAAAACTCCAACAGACTCAGAAGGCAGACAGTCTGGGTTCAAATCACAACTCTACTACTTACTGTTGGTGTGAACCTGGGCAAGTGAATTAGCTTTGCTGTGCCTAGTTTTCTCAGCTTTCAAATGGAGATAATAATAGGACTGTATTTACAAGACTATGAGGACATATACATATATATATATATATGTATGGTATACAAAACCTAGAATGGGACCTGGATCAAAATGCAGGCTACATGTTTTTTTGCTATTGTTGTCATTGTTGGTTATCAGTTTTAAAACGTCTGGAAGGATACACTAGTAATCGTGGTGGGGAAGGGAGCTCATGCTGAAAAATATGACTTAGGTACTAATCAAAGGGAGTTCGGCTGCATTCATAATGAATTGCTTCTTTGACTTAAAAGAAATTAGATGAAGGAAGTATGATAACCCATGAATGACTTGCAGAACTGTGATTGAATTTTTATATTATTATAATTATTATATTATATTATTATTCTTGCTTTTCTGTATTTTTAAAACTCTATTGGATAAAAAAGCAGCAGACACAATCATCACTCATGGAATTACACCTGCAAAGATGGACATCAATATGTTGGAATGCTTTAGATCTGCCCTCTCCAATATAATAATCATTAGCCACATGGGGCCATATACATTTATTTAATTAGCTACAATTAAGTACAAATAAGGATTTGGTTCCTTGGTTGCAGTAGTCACATCACATCTCGACAGCTCAGTAGCCACACATGGATAGCAGATATAGAATATTTCCATAGTCACAGAACGTTCTACTGGACGGTGCTGCTTTGGAACATAATTTTCTTTTCTTTTTTTTTTTTTTTTTGAGTTGGAGTCTCACTCTGTCACCCAGACTGGAGTGCAGTGGCCGCTCCCAGCCACCACAGCCTCTACCTGCTGGGCTCCGGCAACCCTTCCGCCTCAGCCTTCCATGTAGCTGGAACTACAGGCGCGCGCTACCACACCTGGCTAATTTTTTGATTTGTTGTAGAGATGAAGTCTCACCTGCCCAGGCGGGTCTCAAACGTGCGGACTCAGGCAATCCACTCACCTTGGCCTCCCAAAGGCACGGGATTACAGGCTGAGCCACCGAACCCGGCTGGAACATAATTTTCAAAAATGTGAATATCTGAAATCTCCTATTATTCTTCTGCATGTCTGGCTCCAAGTAATTCTGCTGCACCTGGGCATATGCCCTCAAAAGAATTTTTCACCTTTCTACTTAGTACCTTAAGTCTTTCATTTTCTGATTGCTGAGGCACTGAGAAAGCATCTTTCCCAAGGCTTCCAACAATAACACAGACATTGCAATAGTAACTAACACTTGGGATATACTCAGTACTGACCAACTTCACTAAAGATGGTGGGTGAGGGTGAGTGAGGGAACCTCTCTTCCAGGCTGTAGAAGGTGTTACTTGGCCCAGAATCACAGTGCCTGTGAACTCAGAGGGGGAAAAGATGCTGCTGGTATTCCTCACAAACCAGTTCTTATCCCAGTTTCTTTCTGTTTGTTGTAGGTGAACTGCTCCTGCTTTCAAACGCAATTGTCCTGCTCCAGGTGGTATGCAGCTGCCCAGACAAGTGCCACTGTCACTTATCCACACATTTTGTAGACTGTAGCCAACAGGGTCTGGCTGAAATCCCTTCTCATTTACCTCCGCAGACTCAAATACTGCACTTACAAGATAACCAGATATACCACCTTCCTGCTTTCGCATTTAGGTCAGTGCCACGGCTCACAACCTTAAACTTGTCTAACAATTCCCTTTCAAATCTGGCCCCAGGAGCTTTCCATGGACTCCAGCACTTGCAGGTTTTAAACCTAGCCCAGAATTCCCTGCTTTCCCTGGAAAGCAGACTTTTCCATTCTCTCCCACAGCTGAAGGAGCTTGATTTGTCATCAAACAACATAAGCCATCTCCCCACATCCCTAGGCAAGCCTTGGGAGAACCTAACTGTATTTGCAGTTCAACAAAACCAGCTTCAGCAGCTTGATAGACCGCTCCTAGAATCCATGCCCTGGCTGAGGCTTTTACTTCTCAAGGAAAACCTCTGGAAATGCAATTGCCACTTGCTTGGTCTGAAACTCTGGCTGGAGAAATTTATCTTTAAAGGTCAGTAATGTCTATTTGGAACCCCCCATCTGTGTGCTACCATTCTAGGATGAACCTCATCTGTTCTTTGCATTAGAGAAAACATTGAGGAGTGTGCAAAGGGTGGATTTAATCTTTTTCACATCAATGTCATTTCATGGTTTGGCAAAAGAGGCAAGTGAGTCATTAGATGTTGTTTAAATTCAGGTATTTAAATTCATCTACAAATGGGATATATGGAGATAACTTTCCACTTGTTTAATTAACACAATATGAAGTTACTTAGCTGGGAGTATGCCCTCAAGAAGAAGGAAATTCAATCACCACCTGAATAATTGCTCAACCCCAAATGGCACCAAACTCTAATTTTCAAGTGTGATCCATTTGGGGGCATGGCTATCTCTCCTTGGTATATTTTTCTCTCTTTGTCTGCTTATATCCAGTTGGCAGCTATAAATCTTCCCTAAAATTATTCCTTCTGCTTTAGTAAATACCATTGTTACTAAAAGTGGGTGCAATAGGGCCTCTCTCTAAAGTTGCAGTTTCTTAAACCTGATGCCAAAAGCAAAGCAAAAGATTCCAGAATATTAAAGAGGAAAGGCTCTGGAAATCACCCACGTGTCAGCAAACTACAGCTCAAGGGCCAAATCCAGCCTGCCTCCTGTTTCTATAAATAAAGACTTATTGAAACAGAGCCCTGTCCATTCATTACATTCTAGAGTAGCTACTTTGCACTATAAAAGCAAAGTTGAGTAGTTTGACAGGGACAGCATGGCAAAACTTGTAATATCTACTATCTGGCCCTTTATAGAAAAGTTTGCCATCCTTTGTTATCAGTGGGCAACAGAGGTCCAGAGAGATTTAGTGAGTTGCCCAAGATCACAGAATAGAAGCTCAGATGAGCACAAAATGCATGTATTTGGGGTCTTGGCCCTATATTCCTTCCCCTTCCTCACGTGCCTCTCTCCTCCTAACTCTCAGCATCATTCATTCATTCCTATACTTGAGGGTCCTTTATGATCAGGCACTGTTCTGGGCACTGAGAAGAGGGCAGTGAACAAGAAGATTCTAACCATCCTGGAGGTTCCATCCTAGTATCAGAAACACATGTTAAATAAGATTATAAACAAAGATACATGTTCAGATAGCAGTTAGTGCTAACAAAACAATGAGACAGGGGAAGAAGAGAAAGAGTGACAGAACGGGGGCCCCATTTTAGATAAGATGGATGGGAAGCCCTCTGCAAGGAGGTGACATGGGTGAGCAGAACCTGATCAATGAAGAAGAATGAGTCATGAGATAATTGGGGGAAAGGACAGCAAGTACAAAGGGCCTGATGAAGGAGGATGCTTGGCTTGGCTGTGGGACCAAAAGAGGGACAGAAGGGGCAGGGCACGGTGGCTTAAGCCTGTAATCCCAGCACTTTGGGAGGCCAAGCTGAGGGGATTGCCTGAGCCCAGGGATTTGAGGCCAGCCTGGGCAACTTGGCGAGACCTCATCTCTACAATTTAAAAAAAAAAAAATTAGGTGTGTCAGCGCATCTATAGTTCCGGCTACTTGGAAGGCTGAGGTGGAAAGATCGCCTGAGTCCGGCAGGTCATCGCTGGGGTGACCCTGAGTGTGCCACTGCACTCTAGCTTGGGCAATGGAGTGAGACTCCAACTCAAAAAAAGAAAAGAAAAGAAACAGGAGTGAGAGGGTAGACAAAGACAAGGCAACACACGTGCACGGGAGCCGGGTCAAACAGGAGCATGCAGAGTAGGCCAAAATGTTTAGATCTTATTTTAAGTAAGCTGAAAAGCTCTTGAAGAGTTTTAGTCAGGGGAACAATATGATCTGACTACAATTCAAAAGGTCACTCTGGTGACTCTTGGGAGAGTTGACCAACGGTTGCAGGACAAGAATTAGGGAGATGAGAGAGAAGGTGATTTCAGCCATCTAGAGAAATTGATGGTGGCCCAAGCCAAAGTGGTGAGAAGTGATCAACTTTGGGATATATTTACAACATTAAACATGAAAATTACCAATGGGTCCAAGTCAGAGATTAAGAGAAGGACATAATTACAGGAAATTCTATTTTGTTTTGTCCGGCAGTAGTAATCAGATATATGGTGATGCCTTTAGCAAATAAGGGTAGACTGAGGAGTTGGGGAGCAGATGAGTGTGTGTGGGGTGATTAAGATTTCAGCTTGGAACATGTCAAGTGTGAGATGCCCTTTACATATTCAAGGGGAGTGGTTGAGTGGGAGGATATATATTCAAGCCTATAGTTCAAGAAGATATCAGAACTACAGACATGAACTAGGGAACCAACAGCAATTCTTGGCAAGAAGCAGGTTAGGAGCAACATGAGTTCAGATGTACAATATGGAATGAAAAATCCCTTTCAACAACATAATAGCAAATCACAAATCACCAACCAGCCAATGTTCAAGTCAGCCTACAACAGGAGCCATCAAACGTGGCAGCATCTGTCTTATGGAAGGTTACAAATAACACTGCTTATATCTGGAGGTGAAGTGGTTGGAGCTACTGTGCTCAGATTAAATTATCAGCATCAGCTGGACCATCACAGAAAGATAGTTTTCATCAGCGAACATTTCTTGATAAAAAAAAAAAGTTTCCAGGACACTAGAAGCAATGTGATAGGATGAAGTTCCCCCTACTCTGCCACATACTTGCTGGTGGTCTTTGGGCAAATTACTACCCTTCACTGGCACTCAGTTTTACCAGAGGGAAACTAATAGTATTATGCCTGGGAGCTCCATTTTGGGCCTCAGATTTGGTGATGGGGTTCCATGCTCCCTGTGGCAGAGCTACACGAGTATAGAGAACAGCTGTTCTTCAGAGCAAGTAAAATTGACTTGGGGTAGTAAGACCTGGGTGTCCCAAAACAGCTAGAAAAAAACCCAGATAGATGCCAAATATGGGAGTCAATCTGATTACAGATGTACGGAATGCAGGCCAAATAAGGAAATAGATAATACTAAAGAACTTATTTTTTTTTAAAAAAGATGCATAAACAAATGCAAACATTTAAGGTATTAGACAGAGCTGGCTAACTGATATAACAGACAACCTCAGACTTCAGTTATATATGCAATAAAGTCAGCTGCTCACTCACATCAGAGTCCAAGGGGAGTCAGGGCAGGGTCTGAATTCCATGCTTCATTGAGGGACATAAGCCTCTTCCAGCTTGAAACACCACCAACTTCACTGCCTGGCCTCTAAGGTCATCGCCAAAGGGAACAAAGTGCATGAAGGATTATGCTGGAGGTTTTGTGGTCTGGAAGTGGCATTAATGGGTTCCACTGACCAGAACTCAGTCACATGGCCCCAAATTGACCACAAAGAGTAGGGAAAATTTAGTCTTTCTGTGAGCCTAAGAGCAAAGAGGTGTGCTTTGGTGAATATATACACACATACATATATGTGCAAATTAACACCACAAAAAACTGCACATCGATTTTACAATTATTTCTCTCTACTATTCATCAGTAAACAAAGCATCTTCATGCTAATAGCTAATATTATTCAACATTTACTCTGGACTAGGTATTATGCTGAATGCTAGATACACTTAGTCCAACTGAGTCCTCAGAATAAACTTGGGAAGTGAATTTCATTATTATTCCCCTCTCCTACTTTCCAGATGAGAAAGCAGAGGCACAGCGTAGTCAAGGAACTTTTGCACAACTAAGTAATGGGCAGACTCGAGATTTGAATCCAGTGCCCCAAGACAGAGGTTAGAAGCTACTGGTGGTCAAATGGAGAGCAAGCAGCGTTAGGCAAACTGAAACTTCCTGCACTGTCAGCTTACATGAATCTAGAAGGGTGTGGGACCCCTGAGCTGTAATCAGCAGATTTGCTTCTAGGGTCATGGCCCTTGAGATAGTGGGGAGGGGTTTAGGTGAATCCTGGTGGAGAAACAGCTGTATAAGATGCCACAGAGCTCTTGGTAGCCACACCCCCTGTCTTCTAGCCATGTCCCAGGCTCTAGCCTGGTATTTCCTTGGCTCTGGGTTTGAGGTTATGGTTCCTACCCTAATACTAAACAGCAGGAAGTTTGGAACAGGAGAAAGATAGTTCTTAAGTCTGGAGTGACTGGATAAACCAACCCCATCTAGATAGAAGTCAGCTAATAAAACTGCTCCCATCACAGGTGGCCTTTCTTCCCTTGGTGGAAGTCTCAGGACTGTTTGGCTGGATTAAATATTGTTACTACTTCTCAAAGCCCCATGCTTCATTTCTATCTCTGTGGTCTTCTGTCTTGCAACCAACTCCCACCAGCAGAGGCTCCAACAGCCAGGCAGAAGAAGCCAGGCAGGTCCACGAGGCAAGGATGCTTAGCTGCATCACAGACCATGGCACCTTGGGATCACCCGGAGCATATGCTCCAAACTTCTGGCTTCATATAAACCAATGGCCTGAAAAGGCAGGAAATTCTCCTTTTATCTTTTTGCTTTAGAGTTGGGACTCTTGCCTCAAGGAATTTCTGGAGAAGCCAGGAGGGGCCCAAGAGACTCGGGTGATGGGTGATTCAGTTTGGCATGGGTTGAATTTTGCTATTGCCATTAACCCTGGTATGTCTGGGTCACGTGTTCATCTTTGCACTGCCTTATCTACTTACAGAGCCACTTAGAACCTGTCTTGTGAGGCTTAGGTAGAATAAATGTGTACTAAGGATCTCCAATCTAATTTTGCTAAGGGTGGTACTAGTCTTCAGAGTCGTCTTGAGGGTGGTATTTGTGGCAGCCCGGAACACTGAGGCACGGGTCATGGGGGTGTTCTGCCCCGACGAAGGCTTCCTGGCAGACACTGCTGAGGACCATCCTGACCACTCTCCTTACCTCAGGACACTCCAGAGAGGAGGAAGTAGAGAGAAGCAGTGAGCTAAGTGAGGAAAACTGGGATTGAGTGAAGAGGTCTGGGTTTGGGTGTCCCTTCATCCACTGACCTGTGTTAATTTGGACAAGAATTATCCATAATAGTGGTCTACTAGGACTTACTTAACAGTGTTTTACAAACTATCAAGTCAGATACACATTTTTTTTTGGTATGTTTTTATGGCAGAAAATTTAGTCAGACAAGTTTGTTTTCCTAAAGTCAAATAGTAAATTGGTGGTCAAACTAGCCTGAAATGGTGATCAAATATCAGCCCAGTGCTCTTTCTAGAATTATGGAGCACTGAGATTCCCCCCAAACAACAGTAGTCTAACACACCTGAGGAAATCAAACACCTTATAGGGAATGGGAACTGAATTTAATATCTCACTGGAAAGTTCAGTTTTCAAAGCATCAAATGTTTTGAGGCCTGAGGAGACACGTTCATTACATTTAAACTCATGAAGTAAACTAATAGTACTGTTAAATCCTCAGACACATAAACACTCAAAAGCCCATTCCACCTCTTCATTTGGCATCACTGAATAGTGTTGGTAGACACATGAGGTCTTTGTAATTAACACATAACATCACAACAATGGCCATTTATTTTCTTTTTTCCTTTGATTTCCAATGGGAATCTGGTACAAAAGCTTTCTTGTGTGGTGGTATGCATTAGGGGAGTGTGTGGCCAGGACGCTGTGGGCAGCAATGCCCTCATGGTTGACCTCCATGCACCTTCTTGTCAGCTTTTGTATTGTTTTCCCCTCAGCATTTATATCACATAAAGGTAACTCAGCTTCTAATGAATTCTTAGTCATCAGTAATTGCCAATTTAGTGTGTGGCATTTTGAGTATTTAGCCAATTTAGAAATCCTAAAATCATAAAATATGGTTGTTAAATTCGTTGACTCCAGGGGAAAAAAGGGTACTTCATAAATTCTATCTGCCTAAGTTTTTGCAGCCCGAGGATTTTGGAACTCAGTTGTTTCAAGGCTCTGTTATCGTCCTTTGCTTTTGTTTTTTAAAGGGGGAATAACGGATGGCGTCATCTGTGGGTCACCAGACACCTGGAAGGGAAAGGACCTCCTTAAAATCCCTTATGAGCTGTACCAGCTCTGCCCTCTTCCTGCTCCTGATCCAGTGTCCTCACAGGCTCAACGGCCCAGATCTGCCCACGGGGCGGTCCCAAGGCCTCCTGAAAACCACAGCTCTGGGGAACGAGACCTCTCGGAGTGTGAGCTCAAACCCAAGCCGAAGCCAGCCAACCTGCGTCACGCCTTTGCCACCGTCATCGTCACTGGGGTTGTGTGTGGGATTGTGTGTCTCATGATGTTGGCGGCTGCCATCTATGGCTGCACTTATGCGGCTATTGCAGCCCAATACCATGGGGGACGCTTGGCTCAAGCCAATGAGCCTGCAAAGATGGAAGGGAAGAACTACCAGCCTGAGAGCTTTAATCTCAAATAGGATTGATCATGTAGTCCAGAAGAAGTGTCCTGATTAGGGCTGATGTGTTCACTGCTACTGTCTCATTTTGCTTTTTCCAAAAAAAAAAGATGTATCCGTAAAAAAGTATTGAAATTTATGTTGCGATGTTTAAAATACCACAGATGAAATAGAGATGCTACTTGGGTCTGAGAAGTTATTACAGTGAGTCTATGTAGGGGAAAGTCATGTACAAGGAGAGGGAAGATACCATCTCTTTCAGGTACTCTTCCCTGGATTAAATTGCTTTTACAGAGGAATAGAAATTCAAACACACATGCCAGTCAGCATTCCTGGGAGCTTTATAATCTATTGGAAAACTGCCTAGTTTTGAGTGCTTGGGAAGAAGCTAGTGATCTTACCCGACGGGCATTGAATGCCTCTAAAATTCAAGTTCAGCTGGATTGGTGATACTTTTAGATGTTGTGTATGTTATATACTTAATGGGAGTGTCTGTTGGTTGGGAATTTCGTAGCTTGCCACAAGAGTCAGATTATATTTAATTTTCTAAATCAGAAAACCATTTGGGGTTTTCTAGGCCACAGAGGAAGAGGAGGGTTTCATGTCTGGGTAATGGGACTCAGGCCCAGAGTCTGGGGAAGTTTTCTGATGCAAGGGTAAATAACATACAAACAAACACAAAAAAGATGGGGAGTTGGAATTTGGGGCAGATATTACCAAAAGGCCATATCCACCAAGGGATAAGAACCTTCCATTTATAACTCTCACAGCAGGAATGAATTTAGGTTGGGCTGAGAGCGAGATAATGACTTTTGTGTATCTGTATCTGCATACACAGCGCACAGAGTACATAGATTTGTACAACCACACCCTCACATAAACACACTCGGAGCAATCAGTTTACCCACTAATGAAATGCAGCCGTGTCAGGGTGGAAGCCAGCAGCTGTTGACCACCACCCAGATTGTCTACTCAACACGCAGGGATAGGAAGGAAGAAGGAAGTCTGAAGAGACTGGGAATTACCAAGAGATTCGAGATAGGTGGCGGTAGCCATTCTGAACATTATTTAGGCCATGGTTTAAAAAATCAGGTGTGGCTGGCTTTCTTTCAAGCCCTACTCTTGAAGAGTTGCATGCAAAGTGAATTTTTGTAAATTGAATCATCATTTTAATGCAGTAGGGGAGCTGGCTATTTAAAGGAACCTTTCATGGAATCTTTCTGTAATGAAAATAATTGGCTCCAGATTTATGCATTTTGTAAATGTTCATTTTCTCATGCTAGGTTTTCTTAAAGAGGAATCTACCTGTTCTCTCTCATGATGTCCCAGCTCATACTTAGTCACTGGTTAGTATTAAAAGTCACTGGTTAGTATTAAAATTATTTTACACAGGAGGAGAGCACAGAGTAGTTATGGACATGTTAAAAGCAGAGAATGGTAAATATAGGGCAAGCTGTCCCTCCAGAGGCCATGACAGACATTGCTAATCAATCTCAGCACTCCTCCAACTGAGCACCACTGATACCTTCTTAAGACAGCACTGTAGGCAACCAGAACAAATCAACTGGAGTTGGTTCAAAGGATAAAACACACTTGCCATTCAGGGTGTTGTTGGCTCTATATTCACTCCTTCAGGCCATGTAAAAATTGGTTTGGATTCTAAATCAGTAGTCCATTTTCTAACTGGAATGTGAATGGAAGGTTCACATGTGTATGGGATAGCTACAACCCGAGCCATGCCCAACAGTGTAAAGAGGCCATAGCCATAGAGAAACAGATGGATGGGATCTACCACACTCTATTGTGCAGGTCTCACATTCATGCACCTCTAATCTTCAACTGCCCAAGACACTTCAAAGTTTATGTGGACCCCACACATCCACAGGCTATGGTGGGCCATCTTTTTTGGAGCAGAAATTTTGCTAGATTATTTTTTCTGGGGGGAAATTTTAAACTTTGATGGTAAGTTTCTTTCTTACTTTAAAAAAAAAAAATTAAAGTAAACCTGGATACATTACATTGTAGATTAAAAAGAGACCCCAGGAAAAAACTGCTGTTGCATCAGCTCTGCTCCAGACCCTAGCATCTCCTCTCTACCCTGCCCTGTGGGCCATTTCAGTGGGCACGACTAAACATTTGGCTCTAAAGAAAGACATATGTAGTGACTACTTTCTAGGAGAAAAAAACCTTTCTTTCCATCACCGTGGACTGAGAATCCTTGGCCAAGAAAGCAATGCAAGAAAGGAAATTTAAACCTTTTTGATATTTTGTCCCAATTTCACCAAATGTTTCCAGAATTCACACAGTACCAGGTATGGTGCAAGGTATTTTCATGAATACTTATCAGGTAATCCTGACACTCACCCCACGAGACATTTAAATAGATATTACATTAGCTGGGAACTACTAAGGCTAATAACACTTGTTTCCTCTTACTGAAGTGGTTTAAGACTTTCAAGTGCACTGTGCCCTGCCAGAGGTTTGGTGACAATGCAGGTCAACCCTGTCCCCCTAACCACAAGGATTACACAAGAGAGTTTCCAATACATTGCCAAAACCATGAATATGACTAGAATCGTTGCTTGTCAACACCCATGTCCTGTTAGATTTCTCAGTACAGATGATAACTCAGGCAAATAGACTTCCTGTTTCATGGGTAGTCTTTAAGGAAAATGATTAAAATGATACATGCGTACATTCAGATTTCTATCTTTTGCCTACAGTCACCGCAAGCAGCAGTTGGCAATGAAAATAATTACTTACTCTGAAATGTCAACAGCTTCTCAGTATGGAAAAAATATAAATCAAATTGTTTAGATTAACAAATGCAGAGTTATCATTTGTTAATATGAGAAATGAAATGTTTTAACTGTAAAAATCATTGCAGATGAAAGACCCAATTTGCAGGGTATTCTGTAAGAACCACAAATTATCTTTCACAACCACTACAGCTCATGAGGGGTAATTTGCAAACGCCTCATAGATTATTTTCAGCTGTTTATTGCCACTGTCATATCCATAGATTCCCTCATAAAAATGCCCTTCTGTCATAGAACCTTGCTGAGGGCACAGTGTGGACAAAAATCACATTTAGAGTTGATTGTTTCTGAGAAAACCATCTAAAATGTAGTCCTTTCATCATATTTAGTGGAACAGTATGACTACAGACTGGTGATTTTTCCTTTGCCATAGATCATGAATTCCTAAAGAGATACTATAGCTGTCGTCAGTGAGGCATATAAGAAGGGGGCATGAAGAATGTACCCTGACATAGAAATTTTGGAGAAAAATCTAGCTTTAAATCTATATCTGAAAGCTTTTACAACTGAGGCAAATATCCCTGACCCTGCAGGAAGAATCTTGTGCTTAAGAGTATGAAATGCCAGTGGATAACAGAGTTATTTTTTTCTCACAAAAATGGAAGACTAAAAAGTGATTCATATGCAGATTTCTTTCTGAAGGTTCATGAAAATCAAATCTCATTGCTTGAATGAACCAAGCATCCCCCAAACAAGACATCTTTGTCTTAGATCCTAATTACCAAAGCAAGTGCTACATCAATTTGTAAAATAATTTATCCATAACACACATTCACATAATTATACAATTGTTAGAAACCTAGAACTTTCTATTACAGGCCAGAAAATTGTTTCCAGTTTGGTAAAACCCATCACTGTTACCCATTGCTAAATGCTACTAACAGAAACCCACTAAAAATAATATTCCAACCCGACATGGCATCACTGGGCTGTGATTTACATGCACAGCTTCAGGGAATTGTTCTCTTTACCCTTTTGATAAAAATACTTTTTTTTAATGCCCAAATTGCAATGCAGTCTCAAAGAAACCTCTACCCCATTCAGAGAAGCAGCTCCATAATCGACCCCTCTTCTTTTAGTTTTTTTAAATTTTAATTTATTTTAATTTTTATTGATACATAATCCCTTTTAGATTCTTTTTTATTTTTTTAAGGTATTATTGAACTTCTAGTCCCAGGTAGAGAGATACTTTAATTTCTTTTTTAAAAAAATGTAATTTAATTAAAAAATTTTATTTTAAAGATGTGGTGTACAATTCAGGGTTAGGTAAACAAATATTCATTATGCAGGTACCCTTGTTGATGAGGTGTGCCCCATCTCCCCTGGCAGATTCTCACTACTGCCAATCCCACACACCACACCACCCTGGCAATCTCCTACTACTGCCGATCTTTTTCTTATAATATTACAATTGTTCCAGGTCTGCTTATGCCTTTTAGATTCTTGACTGAACTATCCATACCTACATTTTACCCCAGTGACACTCAATATTCACCTGGATGAGTAGGATGTCACTCAGCTACAAAAGTCTATTAAGAAGGCCCAGGAAAAGAATCAGAGAACCAGGAAGCTGGAAAGGGTCTTGGAGAGCATTTAGTCTAGGTCTGAACCCACTACTGATCAGTTGGAGTTGACATAAGAGATTAAACCTATTTGCTACCCTGATATAGCTCCATGTCCTTGTGAGGAAATAGAAGCATGGAGAGGAAAGAAACTTTTTTTTTTTTGAGTTGGAGTCTCACTGTCACCCAGACTGGAGTGCAGTGACGGCTCCTGGCCACTGCAGCCTCGACCTGCTGGGCTCCGGCAATCATTCTGCCTCAGCCTTCCAAGTAGCCGGAATTACAGGCATGTGCTACCATGCCCGGCTGATGTTTTTATTTATTGTAGAGATGCGGTCTCACCAAGTTGCCCAGGCGGGTCTCGAACCCGCAGGCTCAGGCAATCCACTCACTTCAGCCTCCCAAAGCGCGGAATTACAGGCTGAGCCACCAAGCCCGGCTAGAAAGAAACTTTTTAAAAGCTATGCACATAATTAATTGCCTGATAAATGCAGTTGAAGGAGCACAAGGTTAGCATGAATAATGCAGCCTGACCCTCATCATCCTTTATTCATCTTTGTGGTAACCCATGATATCAAGACTATGACATTATTATACTAATTATTTGCATGAAGACAATTATAGCACTACCAGCAGCATTTGTTGAGCATCCAATTTTCTGCCAGGGGTTTTCCAAGCATAATACTTAATTTTCTCTAAGCCTCATGGTGTCCAAAACATGT